AAAATTTTGTGAAAAGTGCATTAAAAAAAAAAGTGCCCGCAAAATAACATTTGCAAAAAGTGCCTAATTGCAAATGAAATACTCTTGTATTGGAAAAAAAATCCACAAGAGAAAATTGCGCAAAATCCAAAAATTTGGAAAAATAAGGGTGAAAAGTGCCTACAAATGCTATAAAGCCAAGAAGCTATAAAGCATAAAATTGAAAAATCCGACTAAATAAAAATATTATTATTAAAGAAAAAGTGCACAATAAATAATAATATTACCATTAGCATTGACTATGGTTAACAAGAGCCTGCAATATAAATGTAAATATTGTAAAAGGGCCTTGAATTGAATCGCAATTAAGCGTTCAACTCCTTTAATTTGGATTATGGGAAAATATACACCATTGGGCAAATAGCCTGCAGATGCAATATTGCATTTTAATATCCCGAAACTAGGATAAATATAATACATCAAGCTACCGAGAGGACGATCTCGGCACCATAACTTAATTTCATTTTGGAAAGAAGAAGACTTGCTGGCTGACCGCAGGACCTGGACACCAAGGGAAGTCGTCGCCAAAATCGTCGCTACAAGAACGTCGTCGACAACATCTTTGAAAAAAACGCTATCGTCATCAATGGGCTAAGTCAACGTGATCAACAGATAAGTTCGATATTAGTAACTGATATAGTTGTAAAAAGCACGATGTCGATGTCCGATATTAGTTATTTTAGTGCAAAGGTGGCCTTCTTAGAGAAAGTCGAGCAATTAAACAAATATCTCGATGAGACAGTAAATAATTTGAGTGGCTGCAAGGATTCCCTTAACATAAGAAGAAATAAGATTAACTATTTAGCTACAAATTTGTTTAATGTGGTGGAACAGGCTAGGTGTTATTTTGAACGCAGAGAATTTGAACGCATTATTGATGAATTGGAATTCGATGTTCAAAATATAGTAACGGCCATAGAGAAAAGATTCCGCCGTGAAGGATGTTGTCTTTGGGTTGTTAGGGAAGAGGAGTTTCTTACCCTGCCAGAGAAACAGTTTTCAAATTACCTCGATGAATTAATTTGTTGTAATGAATTCAAACAAAAAGAGAATAGTTTAGAATCAAATCAAATAGATTCACAAACTGTATTATCGAGTCCATTAAAAGAGAAAGAGTTAGGTAGCTTAACGATTTCTAAAGAAATAGAGGATATAAAAATACACTGCCGTAATATTCCGCCGGCAGGACCTCACTTTGAAGGTGAGGTTGTTTTTAGTTCACCATCCGTGTTACTTAAAGTAAATGACGTTCTTACAACCGTTCATTTAGTAGAAGAAGAGTCAATAGACTTAGAATTAATAAATGGAAGTCCTATGACAGTTAGGATTTGCAACGCATACTTTCGGGCCAAGTTATATAATTACAAATTTGTGAAGCAAAGTAGTAGCTATTTAAAAATGATTTGGTGCCCAATAAAACTATGTCTGTTTAATTATACGGTAAATGTTAAACGGTTAAAGAATGAAAAAGAATACATGAAAAGGTATCATGTTAAAATTAAAGATTTAATAATTAATGATTATACATTTGGTAATAAAATCCAAGACCGTTGCAGGGTGTCTAAACATATAAGTTAAAAAGCAGATACAATATATCGAATTAAATATACAGTCCACTAATTTTATATTTGCATTGTTAACGAAAAGAATTTATGTAATTGATAACCTCTACACCGCATCTTGACGCCCTTGGCAGAATGTTCAAGAAGAACACTAATTGTCATAAATTTAAGAGTTTACGAGCTCTGTCAATGTCAATATGTAAATCTATCTAGAGCCGTAAATAATGATCTGTTATTTTAAACCTACAAGGGTGCAGTGCCGAACAATTGTAATCTTAAGTACAGGCCACTTGAGCCTGACCATAAATATAGTTCTCACACTGTACAAAGGGTCGCCTTGCGGGAGGCCGTTGATAAGGTTCCCGCTCAGGCAAACAGATGTGGTCTCTGCGTAGACCATAGATAAGTATATCATAAGATTTTCATGTTAGTTACGTAAGCGAAGACTTAGTGAAATAAAATCAGTTTTTATACAGAACTCAAACGTGAAGGTTGTTTTCCTTATTACAGGAATCCCTTACAATACTTATAGACACCTTATAAAATGATATCATATTTTTCTCTCAGGGAGTTGTCACATCTCAGTATTTTATAACTAGATCGTTCGCTAATATTAAAACAGTGGCTAGGGAAAGTCCAACTTAAAGTATAAACTTCAAAATATCTTTTCCTTTCAAGCCGTTTATGTTCGTGAAAAACTTTCGCATTGTTTTCCACTATCCTGTTATCCTGCCGGCGCTTAACACATTTAACGAACACGATAACTTGGCTTTGATGCATTCGGCCACTTGCAGCTGCCGTTGACACATTTTCCGAACACACACACCAGTCATTAGGAAAGTGATGGAACAAAAGAATTTGTTGAGCCCGGCATGGGTCCATGCTCGAGCCGCTTTATTGAAAACTTATTCGCCAGCAGGGCTGCAATTAACAGCATGAGAAAAGCAACAGCAACTCAGTTTGATGTACGAGGAGATGGCGACAAAGTGGATTTAATGCCGAAAGGGTCCGAGGCAAGTAAGTTTTATGCAAATTGCATGTAGCATATACCCAGTGGACGGGGGCGCAAAAAAGATAAATTACTTTTAAAGTGCGCAGAGGCAGAAATGGTCTATCCTCCTTCTCGGTTCTTAGTTCCCAGTTCCCAGATCCGAGTTCCCAGTTTTCAGTAGTCAGTAGTCAGTTCTCAGTTTTCAGTCTCGGCACTCCGGTAGTGTGTATATGTGTATACTTCTTCGACGGCCCGAAATGCAAATGGAGCCTTCCCTGCACTCGTACTGCTGATGATGACTTTCTGATTTGCTTTGGCGAAACAAGTTTCCCATGTGCAAGTTTTTAGATAGTCTTGCCTTTTGGGCTTTTCTGTTTGGCAGCTTGTATATTATTTGTTAATTGATATGTCGCAAAAAGTTTACGCCCCCTGTGTGTGTGGGGGATGTGGCACTGCATTTGTTATAAAACTTTGTAATGCCCAAATAATTGCATAGCTCTTAAAAATGGTTTGGGTTTTTTCCGTTTCACAGTCTTCGATTGTCAAATTCGAGTTTCGTTTACTTTTGCCCATGAAAGCTATCTATTATGCTTAAAGTAATCACTTTGTGATTTCCCATATGGCTCGGAGAACTAGAATAATCAAATTACGAAACCAGAGGAACACCATTTGCCGCAAAAGTTATGTGCTGGTAGAACCGAAAACCGAGTTTTCCGTCGACTTCAGCAAAAACCAAAAATAGCGCCAGGAGTGGCAGAAAATCGGGGACCACAGGTGCTGCACCTGGCAGAAGTTCGGGTTTGTTTAACAATTTTCTATTCATTTATGCATTTTGCTAATAAAAATTTCATTTTTGCTTAACTAAGTGAAACGAAAAGGTTCAAGGCAGAGCAAGGAACTCAGGGAAACGGTCGGCGAACAATAAAGGCTTTTATCTTGGCCGACTGTTTTGTTTGGTCAAGCCTTTCCGAAAGTACAGTGCGCCCTGGCTACATGGGGTGCTGTCCTCCGTTGGGTTCGGGTTTCTTGCCTTGGCTTGCGGTTATGACAAAAAGAAATCGCCTGGCGAATAATTTCGTTTTCCCATCACCCACACAATTATTTGGCAGACAGTCCTTGCACTGTACATCCGCTTTTGCGCCCGTTGTCTTGTTGCCCAGATAACATTTCCGTCATTCCCTTTTGTTGCTCCCTTTTCCTCTTTCCTGGTTCCTGTTTGTTTGCAAACATTTTTTAAATTGTTTGCTGTAATTTGTTTCCGGACCCAGACAACAAAAAATAGGCAAATGGCCCTTGCGCCATTTTTCGAGCCGTGGCAGTAGTGGGCGTTGGCCACGCCCCCTCTTCTCTTGGCCAGAAAACGTAGTAGAAATATTTGCATCAGTCGCTGTGTATGTTTTATGATTAAAAAATTATAATTTCAATGTTTGTCTGCCGCTTGGCTCAGCACGTTTGTCCTTTTTTTAATGTTTTTTTTTTCGGCAACAGCTGCGGGTATGTGTCCCACATATCGCCTGTCCTCCTCCAATTAATCGGGATAGGTATCCCGGGTTCCAGCCACATGTACCTCCACTATTCCAACTTCAACAGACCAGTCAACCTCTGCACGTTCCCATGACTTTTATTAGTTTGACTTTTTTGGCGACGATTTATGGTGAATTTTGTATATCTATGCAAATGTTTTACAGCTGTGTCACCCAAATGCGTTATTCCTGCCGGTTATAAAAATATTTTTTGTGTGCTTGGCTTGTTGCTGCTCAATTATTAACAATTACACCGTTTTTAAATTTACGAATTCAAATGTTCCATCAAATGTTGGTAAAAGATCAAATTAAGTTATTTACTTTAATTATATTTTGCAAATGAAATATCAATTACAACGTTTATTTAGTTTGTCCGACTGAAATTAAATTGGTAAAAATACAAAGTCACTCCTTAACGTATTGGCGTTCCAATATTTTTGCTTTCAAATTTAATTTACGTTCTGTTTATGTTTTTCTTCAACTTTTAATTTTTGTATATATATAAGTACATATTTGCTGGCAAACATTGACGCAATTTGTAGTCTAATTTTGAACAAAATAAAAAATCAACTAAGCCACGTGCTGCACTCAAATCCAATCGAACGTCACGTAGCCAGCTGACTCAAAGTTTATTATAAAAATGTAATAACAAAAATTTCAAAGTTCGCTATGCAAGTAGTGAAAATGTTAGGAAAATCTAAAATTAAATTAAGCTCGTAATTTGACAAAGCTTATAATAAGATAAGGTGAATCATTTTGCGTATTAAATTGCAGTTGTGGTGGCTATAACGTCATTTCAAGAACCAGGCACAAATCACGTAGAAATGTTTGTACATTCAAATGGGTTTCAGTTTAAAATCTAATTAGCTTGAGCTCAGACGCGAATTGGTCAAATAAAAGTTTGGAGGGAACTTGCAGAAATATTTTTAAAAATGAGTCAGCTTAGTTTTAAACTGATATTTATGTTCAGCTTATGTTTGCAAAACTGTCGGCCACAACTGGCTCCCTTTTCTGATCCCGAGCCTTTGGCGAATAACGAGGTCTATTTTCCGGGCTTGGAGGACGACTTGGACTGGAGTCGGGCCAACTGGCAGCTGGTGATCCGCTGGATGATGGAGCGCCAGCAGCTGCGTTTCTGCATTGCCCTCGCCAGATTCGATGAGCGGTTGGTGCCCGGAACGGCCTGCCAGGCCCTTTTGGCCAACGGGCCGCTCATGGCCAACTGCGACATTGGGAACATCGAGGATCTGACCATGACCATGCGCTACGCCTTTGGCGAAATTCTGTTGGATACCAGTCGGAAGTGTCGCCACGGCCTGGAGCTCTTTGGAGTTCGCTGCCGGCGGAGGGCGTAATCGGAAACCTTCAGCAAAGAAGTTTTATTTTCATAAAATGCCATTCGGGTTTCCCTTTTAAACAGAAACAGAAATTATAGTACAGTCGCACTGAAATAGAATATCCAATACCTTGAACACTAAGAAACACTGCTGATACATTTATGGACTAGTATAGAACGAGTAAATCAGTTTTACATTATAATAAATAATTTATTTACTTCTTTTTTCTGCATTTTAACTTTACAAACAATTTCCAGCAAATGTGCCTATAAATCTTAGTAATATGACCAATTTCCTGACACTAGATTGGCACTGATAAATTAGAAGTTAATGCAAAATTGTAATATTTTTACTCGCTGCTGAATCTACTAATTGTTCCCATTTCGCCTCCTAAGTGCATTGCTAATTCACTTTATTGAGCAATTTTTCATCGTCTTCCCTGCCCTGTCCCCTGTCATTTCAATATGTCAATAAAAATCAGAAAGGAACTCTCCGCCACCCCCGATTTCGGTCCCAAAACTGGGTGAAGGCCCAAGTCCGAGTCCGAGTGGCGAGTCCTTGCCGAGTGCAGTGCCTCCATGACAAATGACGATTATAATTTGTAAAATGCGCCCATCTTGTTATCCCCTCAGATCCTTTTGCCCGCCCCCGATATGTTCGACTTGTGGCCTAGATGTTGCTGTCCGGCTTTCTCCCCATTTCTATTGCTGCTCTCGGATTCAGTTTAGTCCATTGCAATTGTTGTTGCAATTAGCAGAAGCGACAGGGGATAAGGGGTAACATAAGCACAACTGATGGTTTCAATGGGGAAAATTGCAGAGCGCAAATAGCCGATGGTGGGTGGAGGTTGGGGGTTTGGGTTTAGGGGGTAGATAAAGCCGTATTGTTGCTTCTGGCAATTACCGGGAAATGTTTAAGAGTTCAGCTTCCATGGAGAGTTTTCCCATTTCAATCGGAGCGGTGATATCCACTTCAATCGATTTGCGAAACACCTTCAAACAGCGAGCCCATTCCCAAACGGAGATGTCAACAAAATAAACGCTTTTCAAGTCAGTTTTTAGACTGAAATTGATGAAGTTTTTGGATTGAATGTGCAGCAATGCAACGCTGCATTTTAGGCTATCAATGTGCACAATGAAAAATAAAACCAGAGATAACGCTATAGTCGGGTTGGTGTCCCGACTAAGTAATACCCGTCACTCAGGAGGTGGATTTATAAAGTTTTTTTTTATTGCGTATATTTTAATGAATGGTCCGATATAAAAAATGTCTTCTACATTTCGATAGGTATAAATATACACAACAAAATTGCTTTTATACTTCTCGGAAAACTTTAAAGGTGTGGGCGCCAGACACATTTTAAAATCGTTGGTGGGCGATTGTGGGCGTTAGAGCGGGCGTGGCGCTCGGCTGAAATAAACTTGCGCTGCGTAGGAAGCCCAAGAATATGTGTGGGAAATCGCAACCTTCTAGCTTTTGTAGTTTCCGAGATCTCAGCGTTCATACGGACGGACAGGCGGACGGACGGACAGACGGACGGTCAGACGAACATGGCTTTGTCGACTTGGCTGGTGACCCTGACCAAGAATATACATATATACTTTTTAGGGTCGGAAACGCTTCCTGTTACATACTTTTGGACGAATACAATAACTCTTTTACTCTAGGAGTAACGAGTATAATAAACCATTAGAAAAAATATATTTCAAAATTGTAATTTTTTAATTCTATATTTTTATTTACAATTTTTATTTTTTCGAAAGGCTTATTTATAAACTCAACTGCCTTATTAAATTTGCTAAAAAATTCCACCAGTTCGTTTGAACTAATAATGTTTGATTTAGTAGCAAGCGTTGCGCGCGTTCTTTAAGCGTTTATCTGGCACTTCCAAGGACTCTTCAAGCTGCTTCCCAAGTTATGGACAACTTTTCTACAACATGGCCAAAGCTAAATGTAAATTAATGAATTGTTTAAAGTACTTAAAATATTTACGCTCAAAGCAAGTGGATGAGCACTGCCACGCCTCCTGCCCCCCGCGGACTAGCTTCAATCCCGGATGCTGTGAGCGTGGGCTGCTGACCAATGAATATGCAAACGATTCCACCACCCACGGCCACTCCCAGCTCCAAGTTCGTTAAAAACGCAGCATAAGGTCAAGGAGATAATGTTGGGGAGGGGGGATAGGAAGTGCGGAGGAAGTACACTGGTTCTGCAAATCGCGATTCTGAAGAAATGTGGTGTTCATGCAAATTATTTGCAACATAATTCGTCCAAACCTAATGTTTATTAAATAACAAACCAGGAAATTTTACACTTTCGCACATTTACTTTTTGTTGTTTTAATAAATGATTGTTTTAAATTAAAAAAAAACTTTTAATTTTATAAAACTGAATAATTTATTTATTGATATGAAAACTAGTCCCACAGTGCGTATACGGGTTGGTGTCGAACGGTCATTAAGGCAGCGAATAGAGAGCTGAGCTCGCTGTTTACGCAGTGAGGAACAGCAGCAATGGCAAAAACAAGAGAAGCGGCATGAACGACAGTGGCAACAGCCTGTCTTGCGACTTCTGTTGCCATGCCCTCTCCCGCCCCCTTTCCTCGATTTCCCAGCCAAAGCGTCCTGTGGAGCCTTCTGGTCCTTGCTCCTTTCACCCCATCGCTTTTCCAACTGCTGACTGTTAATGTGCAGCCCCCTCGCTCCGTAAAATATGCATAAACAAATGAAACGAACTGACTTTGCTACTTGCTCAGCGCCACTGCAGCTTTTGGATGCAATGCAGCCTTCTGTCCTTCCTGCAGTCCTTCAGCGAGTTCAGCCCGAGTAATTAAATTTTGCTCGAAATTCCTTGCATTTCCTTCTCTGATTTCGAATGAGCTACCGAACTCGCAGATTCCTCCGCGCTATTTGCATTGAAAAAATGAAAAATCTATTAATGGAACGGGACTGGTAATAATTTATGCAGCAGTGAGCCGATAACTGAGCTTCATTTTGATAAGGCGGAGGGTCCTTGAAATTGGTCTTGGCAGTGCAGTTGTACGGGGTCAAATGTCTTCGACGGTTCGTGGTAAATGAGATCGAACGGGATTGCAATCACTGTCCAGATTCCCCTTTTGCATCCTTTGATTTCTGCGGAGGGGCAGGGGTGCAACAAACTGGCAAACTGGAACCAAATTGATTGCATTATCGCGGGGGCCAACGAATGACCGACATGAGAAGACAAAGGACTCGACCCATAAAAGTTCGATGCTTTCACGCAACAAATTTAAAGGGCCCGATGACAGTACTATACTTACGGAAAAATGGAAAGTTTGTCGTCTAATTTCACCCAACCAAAATGTTAAAAGCGAGTTCATTTTTTTTTGTCGTAAATAAAATATATAACTAAATCCGTTATATTCATTAAAAATATTTTTAATTTTGTTAGTTTATGACTCAATTTTTTATATTTTAGTGTTTTATTGGTAAATTAATTTAAAAGGTTAATTTAACGGGTTAGTTTAAGTTAGTAATTAAGGTTCTATATCTTTTGTAAATAGATTTACCATACTCAAATTTCTTTTTCAGGAATGGTTTTATTTCAGTTTTAACTAATTTTCAACTCCGTATAAAGTACAATATTCTGTGAAAAGATAATTTGATATTCCTAGATCCAACTCCAACTCCCTTCTAGATCAAAATAAATTATTCCGTGCATGTTTTCCGAGATTATCGTTCGTTTACCTTAATTTTTCTCCGCTCGGGTGAACCGCTGTAAGGCATCTGCGACTGGTGTGTCGGGTGGCATGTGGCATGTAGCATCCTGTGCGGCAAGGATGTGGACTCGTGTGTGTGTGCGATCCGTTCGGGCTCTTCAAGGCTCATTTATGACCCTCATCGCTGGTCACTTTTTATGCATTTTCCCACGCTGTTTACTTTGTATACAAACGAGTGGCACTTACTTATTTTGTGCCACATAATGAGCGCTCCTGATGGCCGCTTATAAATTATAAAGCATACCCACACACACGTCGTCGTCGTCGTCGTTGTCGAATAAACTTACCGCTCACACCCACCCAATTTGATTTGTATGGCTTTTCAATTTGTGCTCTGGTGCTCTTTAGTTCCATTCCGCTCCTCTGTTCTCCCCTCCCCGTCCTCTGGCCATCGTGCTCGTATTTCCTTTTTGCTGCATTTGCCATTGTATAAATTTTTGGTATTTGCGCCAATTTCATTCCAAATTGAGCGCTGCCCACAGTCGTTTATTTTTAATGCACCCAGGCCATCCGAAGCGAACCAAAGCGAAACGAAGCAATATGGCCAGACTATGGGTTCTGGTCCTCGAAAGGGTCAGGTGGCTGGTTGGCTGGGGAGGAGCACCGCATCAGAAGTTGATTTTTTCCTCCTCTATTTCCCATTTTTCTATTGTGGACTAGCAGAGGGATTTTAGCTTTATTTGGTTATGTGTATGCTTTCAGAACGGAACACGTGTTGATGTGCCAGACACATGGCCATAATGCTTAGCCCAGCTCTTCTTTTAAGTTCCACATATTCGTTACAACTCAATATCGAATTTCGGTTTATTTTAAATCTTTTGTGCAAAATTGCTATCCCCAAAGCGTCCTGGTTAGAGCATCCAAATTGCGTTGCTCCGCCCACACGAAATCCCATTTTTTCCCAATTTAGTCCTTTGTATTATTTGCAGTGTGCATTTTGGACATTGTGCTGCCTGGCTGCCAAACACTCGCTGCACAGCAGGACACTCAGGCGAATTGCAGTGGGCGGATTCCTTAGGAGGAGCAGGCGGATTAGTGGAAGGCCAAAAGCGGAGCCGAAGGCGAAGGAGGGCCCCAAGTGCGCTCAAGATTTATGGCCCACGGTCTTCTTGCTTCGCTTATGCGGTTTGGGGGAGCCCCACTACATTGTAGCTGTAGAGCCATCAAATACAATCAAATTGATTGCCTTTTTTAGGCGGATGCCAGGCATTCCGAGGGGCAAAGTCCGGGCTGACCTATAATGCGATTTTGATTTTTTATTAATTTCTTCATTTGCAATTAGTTAATGACTGGCCTCGGGTGCGCCACCCGTGTTCAGTACAACCAACAAAGGGTGCAGGGTCGAGTTGTCTACGTTTTACTTGCGAGACCCGAACTTCGAATGTATAACGGGCCCAAATAAATAACAAAATGGCGTTCTCCAATATCCGGTGAGCGGAAATTTCAATAAGGCAGCCGGCGAGGAA